CAATTCTGGAAGGGACATAAGCAGCTGTGTAAACCAACTCTGTCATTTTACAGATAAGGAAACTGAGGCTAAGAAATGGTTTATGATTTGCCTAAAATGACACAAGTCTTCTGCCCTGGTCAGATCATATCTAGGGCATTTCATTCAATATGGGGATCTTGTTTTGGAAAGGGCATTGATAAATTGGAGAGTGTTCAGAGGAGGGCAACCTAGATGATGAAGGGCTTAAAGATAGCAGGCTATGAGAATTGGCTAAAGGAACTGGGTATGATTATTTCAAGAAGAGAAAATTTAGGGGAGATATGATTTATGTCTTAAAGTGTAATGTTCAAAATAAGTACTCTACCCAAAGGATCACTATTTGGAGGAGAAAGTTTAAAAGTTTAATGAAAGCAATCAACTCCCCTACCCCTCAATGAATTCAGTAAAACTGGAACAGCTAAACAAGGCACTGGGATGAGATAGAAGTCTTAATGGTAATTTGTTTTCTATCTTGAATATTCTTCATGCCTGAACCTAGGCCATTAACAATGGAATGTAGATTTATTTCTCCTTGGGTGTCTATGGATTTGTTCTTATGGGTTGAGGATAAAGACTGTAAGGATATCAGAAATGAATCATTGTTTCCAGTTCTCCAAGTCAATGTGAATTGTTATTGTTTTTAAGCTAAGGATTAGGTCATAGGATTTAGAGGTGGAAGAGACTTTAAAGATGATGGAACCAACCACATAATTTTACAGTAAAAGAAACTGAGTCTCAAGGAGGAAGTGGTTTGCTGACAAGTACTGGAGCTAGAATAGGAACATAAGTTTCGACTTGAAAGGAATATTTGAGATGCCCTAAAATGATAGAATCATAGATCTGGAGCCAGAATATACCTCAGATACCATCTAATCAAATTCTCTTCATTTTACAAAAGAGAAAACAGACCCAGAGAGCTGGATTGCCTTGGAATAGGTCATACAAGTAGTAACTAGCAGAACTGGAACTCAAATCTAGGTCCTCTGACTCCCAAACTAGTTCTATCTACATATCCCATGCAATACTTGCTCCCTATTTGCATGTTTCAGAAGTATATATGAATTCATGTGAGTAAAGAGTTTCAGTTGCCAAGAATGTAAGGCCTTACGATCCCATAAATGTTATTTGGCTCTTCTTCTGGAAGAATCTTAATAATTTTCTCTGGGGCTATCTACTTCATTCATCATTGAAAAGCCATCACCTCTGGTGGGAATGGTGCAGCTGTTTAACAGCTGCCCAGCAACACTAAATATCAGTTTTAAGACAGGAAACTAGACAGCATAGTGTAGCCAATTAGAATTTCATGGTGGAGGTAGGGAGGAATATAAGTATATGTACTTATATCATAAGGCGCCTAGGTTGGAAATTGTTCAGACCACTCTCTTTAGAATGCAAAATAAATAAAGCCCCAGTATATTCAGTGACAAGATGATGAGAACAATCATGTTCCAGATCTGAGGTATAGTGGCTGTTACTCCCTGAAAGTCTGATAAAATATAGATGGATGGTGATGTCCATAAACCAAATTAAAATATTTATGAAAATCTAAAATATGGTATAACTAGCTCGTTATATAACTGTAACAAAAATACAATGTATGTGTGTTTTACTTTATACATAAAAGGTTTCCTGAAAAATGTTTCTCTAGTAGATTGAGTTTTTATAAATCAAATTTTGGGAAGACAGGCAACATGAAATAAGGGAAAGACTGCTAGACTTGGAATCTGAAGATATGGGCTTTTTGCCTGGCTCTAAGCTGTTTTTGTGGGGAAGACACAATCTTTCTGAACCTCAATTCCCTCATATACAAAATGGGCAAAAAAAATACTTGCATTGCCTATTTCACAAGGTATTGTAGGAAAGTTCCTTGTAAACTTTGAAGTATATATCTGAGCTGTCATCATTATCATCATTTTCCCATGATAATTACAGGGACAATGCTACATCTTGGGCAAATATGTTTTCCTATTTTATGCTTTGCCTGACACTTTGTATTCATTTTCCTGCCCTCAATTTAAGTTTTACTGGTCCCTCTCTTTCTGATAAATATATCATGCTATCTAAAAAAGTACTTAAGAAGCTAATTCTGGGGGGCAGTGAGGTGGTGCAGTTGATAGAGCATGAGTCCTGGAATCAGAAAAACCTGAATCAGATCTGTCCACAAACACTCACTAGTTGTGTGACACCAGGCAAGTCAATTAACCCCAATTGCCTCCAAACCACCTCCCCCTAAAAAAAATTCATAAAAGAAGTTAATTCTTCTCCTGGTTAACATTTTTTTAGATTAAAATAACATTCATACAAATAAATTCTAAAATAAAAAACCTAATTGTTATGAATTTTATAAATTAATTTTTTTCTTATATTTGTTTTTCCTAAATGGGGACACACCTGTGTAGGTAATTCACTGGTAGCTATTGTTTTAGGAGGAGGTAAAAGGAGTATTATTGTCTATGAGAGTGAGTTAAAAAAAAACTATATAAAAATGTCTAGATTCTTACTATAGGTTTGATAAGGTACATTCTCGAGCTTATGTCACTCTAAAACTATTCCATGACTGAAATCTTGGTTGTTTTCTTTTCCTCTCCTTGGTTACAGTTTTAATGTTTTAAACAGTGCTGTGGCCTTATTGTTCATTGCTCTGTGTACAAAAATAGAAGGAAGATTGTTGTGATAAAGCAGGTTTACCAAGTATTGAATAATATGTATTCGTTCTTTTGGTCAGTAGAACATTAAAAAACACAGTTATTCAAAAATTACCATTAGTCATTGAATAGAATGATAATCCTTTAGGTGTCATATTCACCCCTCCATGCTTTTGCCTCCATGTTTTTGCTCACTCTGTTTTCTATACCCTTTAAGGCACAATTAAAATACCATGTCTGTAACATATTTCTTAATATGTGCTTCCCACTTGTAATGACTCTTCTCCTTAGAGTTCACATTTTTTAAAGGTCTGGACCTATGATTTCATTGGTGTAGGGAGAAAACTACACCATCATGACAGATTCAAGAAGCCCTGAGAGATTAAACAACAGATTGCCAGTAGGTGAGATGAAAACTTAGAGCTTCCTGACTCCAAGACCCAATGTCTGTCCCCTGTACCATGTTGTCTTTCTGAGACCACATAGCACTCTCTTATCATGAATTATTGTTTATAGTAATTATCTGTGTAACCCCAAATAGACTCTAAGGAGGTATTTCTTATCTCATATTTTATCTTCTCCAGCAGTGCTCTACAAAGATGGAAATACTTATTAAAAGTCTGTCCAATTGTATCACTGAGGTAACACAAGCCCCAGTAAATTTAGGGGCTATAAATACTGAAGCCTCATTTAAAAGTGCCCATATATTTAAATTTAGTGCCACAAATAACGAGAAGGCCACCTGAAATTCCATTTCTAATTCAGAATGGCTGCCATTTTGTGGAGGGGTGGGGAGAAATGAGGTAATCGTGGGTTGGTGAGTTTAAACTCAGATATTGTTGGGTTTTGCTACTGCCCAGGATATTAAAATTCCTTCTTCTGTTTGTCACTTAAGTTGTCTAATTCCATTCAGGTGGAAAGGTGAGCCAATTGAGTCTTTCATATGAAAATGTGAATGCTAGAAGAATATCAAGTTACTACTCAGGAACTTTCATATTATAACTTTTTGTAACTATTTCCATGGCTTTAACCTTTTCTGGGGTCCCATAGTTCTTTTCTTATTTCTTTTTCCTTTTACCCAAAGGTCTTCTTTCTGTCCTCTGAATTCATTTTCAGAAATCATGCCTATGAAGTTAGAACCATCTAGAAACCCAAAGTCAAAGCCTGTAGACAATGCTTCACATACTGATAGGAAAAAAAAAATCACATTTGCTATTCTGTTGATTGAAGGAACAGATGCTCGTATAAGTCTGAAAGCTGAGATACATTCGTACTTTCTTTCATAAATAGTAAAGTATCTAATATTGTAGCTAATGAGAAATTTAGTTCAAAAGGTTTGGGGAAAACTATAGCATGTTGTATTAGCTGTGTCCTTTTTATTGAAAATAGAAGATAAACAACAAAAGTGTTGTCTGTATTTTTTTAAAAGACTGAAAAATTATTGTGTGTCACTATATAATTAGGTAATGTAATTCTCATCATAATTGACAGTTCAAACTGTTTTACACATGCATACACAAATTACTGTGTATTTGTGAACATGAATTTTAAGATTTCCTTCATTGGCAATTTTTAAAATCTCAAGGGAAAAAAGCCAGGATTTTTTTTTCTAGGACTAATTTATATAATTGTTGGTTAAGGAAATACATATTCCTCTCCTATCTATATGGCACTCAATCTCTGTAACTAATCAGTATATTTAGAAAGAAGCTATATTGCAATTGAGGTCATGTTTATACATTTAAAACTCCAGTTAACTGGATTTAACTGAATCCTAAGCTCTCTCGCTGTCCACCCCTGCACTGATCCATGCTATTCATGAGCTATAGACAAGCAGGCAGAAGTGTAGGTCTACATGGACAACGAAGAATCAGGATTATTATGTAATGTCGATCAGTGATATGATGTGGATTTTTCTCCTAAAACAAAACTTTGAATCAGCCTTGCAGACCTCATTAGAGTTAAGAACCTTCTCATTTTACCACCATAACTCAAGTGTACCTTCTCGGAAAAAAAAGTTTTTATACCAATGTTTAATATTTGTAATTTTTTTCCTCTTTTCATCTCAGTCCTGTGTTCTGTAAAAATGTCATTGAAAAACTTTCTATTGCCATAAGAACATTGACATATTTTGTTTTATTTAGTCTTGTTAAGACTGTATAAAAAGAAGAAAGACCTGATGTGGGTAGTTACTTTGTAATTTGCCTCTAAAACAGTTTTCCCATCTAACATTTTATTTACAGACAATAATCTAAAATGTCTTTGGGTAATAGCAATTCATTTATGGTTCCTGGTAGACATATAACAATGTATCTTTTTTTCTCTTTATTTTAGGAAGAGTTCCCATACCACATGATGCAGTCCTAAACTGAGTTTAACACTATCAACAAACATTTATTAAGTGCCCAAATGAACAGAAATCTATAAAAATTGAGAAATTGATTAAGGTAATTTTGAAAATACATGCTGTTTATTTATGCATTTAAACACAGTGTGCTGTTCCTCGAACCAGTGATATAAAAGGTTATTTGTTGTTTTTTCATGTTAAAACTGTTTTTTGGCATCCATTCAACATTTCAAGGGTAAGAAAATATATTTGTGATTGAAATATCCTCAAACAGACAATAGTACAGATGGTAGCCTTGCCTCCCAAGGCCCTGAGTAAGTTATGGAGCTTAAGGATTCAGTGCTTAAGGTTACAAATTTAATTACAACATTTATGTAGACATCAAATGTTCTGGAGCAAGAGTGCCAAACCTCGGGTCTGTGAACTCTTTTTTTTTTAAAGCATTTTGATAACTGTATTTCAATATATTTGGTTTCCTTTGTAATCCTATTTATTTTAAAAACATTATTCTGAAAAGAGATCCATAAATTTCACCAGGCACAAAAAAAGATTAAAAACCCCTGCTCTACAGAAAAAAAGTACACTGGTAGGCTCAACCATCCATTCAAAACATAAAGAAATTAAATTAAGTAATTGCGGGGAGATTCAATTGATATAGATAATTTGTCTTCAAAATTATTATTTTTGTCATTGTTGCTGTTAATAGCCTTCTACCAAAAGATTAAAAAAAAAGGAAGCCCTCTAAATATAGGTCAGTTTTGTTCATGAATTTTACGCAAAGCATTCTTGCCTTGTATTATCAAAAACAATTTATAAATTCTAACTAGGTAACAATATATTTGCTAAGTAGCAGGAGCAGTCTATCAAAAAGTCCTGGAAATACAGTGAACAACTGAATAATCAGCAATTATTAAACAAGCCATCCCAAAACACCACAGTATTTATACTAGCTTTATTAACTAAGATTAAAAAAAAATCCTTTGACTCAGTTCTATACTCATGGCTTATTCATGTACTACAGATATATAAAATAAAGCTGCTTTTAGTGAGAATGCTAGAATGTTTGATGTCACATGGAAAAATGTCCTCTAAGTAAAACATGGCACCAACATAATAATGTCAATAATAATTATTATGAAATGTAACATCTTTCAGGGAGACAGTTTAAATCCCTTTTATTTTTACTTAGCCTTAAACTCATTATCATTTCTCCTTAATAGAATAAAACATGGCTTTTAAATGAAAAAGGAAATACTACCAAATATATCTTATTGATTACTTCATGTACATAGAAGACATCAATCTATATGGCTCTACTGGGGAGAAACACATTAATAATCTCTTTAATCTTGTAAAAACTTTCTCTAGTGATATACAAATGTTATTTGGAATGTATTATAACAAAAACTAATGGATTAAGTCATTAATTTATTAATATTGCCTTTATGCACGTATTTGTGTTTACCGTGTTATTATTTATTGTTCACAGAATTGTGATATTAATTTATTAGTAGAACACAAGCCAATCACCCTAAGGCAGCTATAGAGAAATTAACATTTTCTCTCCAAAAGGAGGAAAGAGTTTGATAAGCATTCTTTGAGCACATGACAAGGAACTCAGAAGCTTTTGGAACATGCAGATAACACTCTGCCAAGCACTAACAAACCTGATAACAGGTATGAACAAGTTTTTTTCATCCATAACAGAAAATCATTTACCTCCAGTTGAAACGGCCATATAAGATGGCTCAATCCATGAATAGAATCAGAAGAACCTTGATAGCCACATCATTTTAGTCAACAATATTTTGACAAAGAATCATTAAATGAATGGCTGAATCACAGACTATCTGTGGAAATAGAGGGATCCGTGGTGACAATTCAAGGCCAATCTATTGCCACCAAAAATTACGGAAGGGAAATCCTTCATGAGCCCAGATCTTGTGATCAACATAGATTATACAAGGAGCTGGTAAAAGTTGTCTACCACATTACTTCATGCTGAAAAATGTGTCATATGCCAAATACCTAGGCATGACCTGATGACTAGTATTATTTGTCAGAAGCTTGATATCTTTGCATGGACCAACAAATGGCCAATTCCAATTCTACAACCATACGTCTCAAAAGCTCCAAAAGAACTAAACCAATAAATTCTCTTGGAACCAGACCGTTATTGCCTACTGAACTGAGAAGCACAAATTCCTGAATGTAACATTAATGAGCTATAAGGTCACAAGAACAATGTTTGTAATAGATATCACCACCTCTAATACTCATAACATGTACACTACATCGAATGAAAAGTTTTTTAAAGTATGAAACATTACAGAGTAGATAAAAATTGTATGGAGACAGAATGAGGTACAGATAGTCCCTGTTACCCTGATATAGGAATTGTACCAAAAATTCTTTCTTTGAGCCTAATATAAAATGTGTTATTAATATAATAATATAATAAACAGATATTTTATTCATCTATGCAAGAGTTCCTAGAATATTAAATATAAAAGAATGATAGCAGGATAATGACTTGTCTCAGGACCTTATCTATCTGAACCTTATCAAGAAAATTTAGAATGAAATAATAATCATAATCATAATCATAGACTTAGCACTTTAAATTTTGCAAAGCACTGTCCACATATCATCTTATTTGATCCACATGCCAGCCCTATAGAATATAGCTCATTTTAAAATGCTTTTTAGGAAATAATATTCAACAAATTACAGCATATAAGGGAGTGACAAATTATTCTCTAGAAAGTTATATAAAATTCTGCTTCTGATGTCATATACTGTGTTTCTTTCTTTCTCTTCTAGATAAACCTCATAAGATACAAAGTTGGAAAAAGCCTTTGAGATATTCTTGTCCAACTCACATTTTAAAGATGAGACAAATGAGTGTCAGAGAGGTTTAAGTGATTTGTCCAATATTACACAGTTACATAAGTATCAGGGACAGTATTTGAACACTTTGGACTTCCAATCCATTGGTATTTCCACTAAACTGATACCCATCATCCTAGAGCTTCCAAAAAGTATTCTCATGTCAATAACTGGGAATGTTATAGAGAGGATAGTTGTTTGAGTTAAGTATTTAAGTAGAAGAAATTTAAGATTGATCCCTTCCAACTAGAGGATGCGATGAGCTATTGATGGCTAGGCCTATCAGATCAAATGAAGACCATCATGCAGGCATTTCCTCTGTCTCTCTTTACTAGAGGAAGTTGAAAGATTCACCCCAGATGGTTGTCATTATGAAATTTAGCTAGTTAAAAAAATTCCCAAAATTATACCACGAAAACCTATAAACATTCCAATAAATTCTGAAGGTAAGCAATACAACTTATATAAAATATCCTTGAATTGCTTATTATCATTTTGGGAGCACATAGTGCTCATTTCCTTTCATGTTGTTCTAATAAGAAAAGTATATAAAAATATGGCATTCATGCATTTCAATTTATGGTTGATGAAAAATAGACCATGAGCTTGTTAGAATTGCAAGGTTTGCTCTGAGTCCTATGCTGTCTTGGCTATTATTGTCTTCATTTGATTTTTTTTGGGGGGGAGGTTGTTTTTTTCTTCTTTCAAGACATTAATGATGATGATAATACTTCTGATAACAACTAGCATTTATGGAGGACTTTAAGGTTTGCAAAATACATCACAAATATCTCATTTTATCTTCACAAAAAAATCCAGGAGGTAAGTGCTATTATTATCCCTTTTTGGCAGATGAGGAAACTGAGGTAGAACAGATTAATTGAATCCAGGTGGTCTGATTCTAGAAACAATAATCTTTTTTTTTCTACTGTACCACACTACCTGCCAAAGTCAGTTCATTTTAATTCATCCAGCATTTATTAAGCACCTACTGTGTGCCAGGCACTGAGTTAAGTAGCTTCTGGGGATACAAAACCAGTCTCTGCCTTTAGGATTCTACATTTGCCTGGGAACAGGGGTATGGTGGGAAAAAAGCAACATGCATACAAATCAGGATAATACAACATGATTTCTGCAGAGGGGAGTCTGCGAGAATCAGTAAAGTTTCTTATAGGTGTTGGCACTTGAGATTGTATTTCCCTGCTTATTTTTTATGGTCCAGTAAAAAGAAAAAAATGATGAATTAAGAAAGGTGGCCAATAGCAAAGGCATTTGAAAATAATGAAGGCAACTTGTTTCACTTTCTTAGTTTAATTTTTTTTAATTGCAATAAAATCACACTGAAATTGAAGCCCATTCACAGCTGTATTACATCCAATGAACTTTTAAATCAGCCAATTAAAAGTCAAGAGAGAAAGGTTCGAATTGGTGGCCAGGGTATTTGTTTGTTTATCTGTCCGAATAAACAACCAGATCTTCAATTTAGGTCACACCATCACAAAGAGGAAGGGATTGGAGTCCGACATTGAGATGCTCTATTTCACACACTTGCCCTCTGGAAGGACTGGCAAAGGCAGTCACTTAAATTAAGTACAGGTCATCAGGCAAGATAGCTAATCTATTCCTGAGACAGACAACTTCCACAGCCCAAATCCCCATGGCCTTTACAGAGATACAATGAACTACTTCCTCCTGTACCTCTGTCAGTTCATGTTAGGCTCCTGCTTTTTTTTTTAAGTGATGTTTCATGTATTCTGTAATTCTCTTGCTCAAAGCAAGGAGAGTGCTTTGGTTTATTTATGACCTGCTAACATTAGGCAAAACAAAATGAGTTCCCATAAGCCTGGAGATGAGAAATAAAACTTAAAATAATTTTGACATTTTTAGCAAATCAAGCTAAAGGGTTGCCCAGTTTAGAAAAAAATAAAGGAATTTTAAAAAAAGAGGAAAGTCATGGATCTATGAATGATCTATTGAAAATGGTTACCTTGATTCCAGGGTTCTCATGCCACATCTAGTATGCCACTGTACTAGTTTTAATCCAAATGATGGTGAATAGTGTTTTTTTTTTAATTCTTCAGTGGTTCTGTCATGTCTTTGATGTGAGTACTTCCTCCAGTGGTACCCGTCCATGACTTCTTAACCTGTATCCCTCAGCAAATCCTTCATATCCAACCAGTGCATTATGCTAGAGCCAGTCTTGTGAAGTCTTCCTCTAGGTCTCTTAACATTACGTGAGTACCAGTGAAATAACTGCACTGTCCCTTTGTTAGTCCTTGCTCTAGCTTCTTAACTTGGAGAGATCCTTTTCTGTAGGTCTGAAACAATCAACAAACATTATTAAGTGCTAGGATACAAGAAGAAAAATGAGACAATCTCTTTGCCTTTATTTTTAGGGTAATATCTTTTATATGAATAGTTTATTTGAGAAGAAAGACATTTCTGGATAGAGAAAAAGGATTTTCAGTAGAGCTGAATTTCAGCATTTTTAAAGATGGATGTTTATCAATAAAAATATCTACAGAATTTCCCCATCTTAAGGAATCTAATGTGAAAAATAAAGTCTAGTAAAAGGAAGTTTGTTAATCAATCAATAAACATTTAATAAACATGAACTACAAGCCAGGGACCTTGCTAAGTGCTTGAGATACAAAAGCAAAAGATAGTCCCGGCCTTCAGGGAGCTCACAATCTGGGGCCGGGGGGGGGGGGGAGGGGGAGAGAGGACACAACAAGCAAACAAATACATGTACAGGATAAACGAGAAATAATTAACAGAGGTACTTGAATTAAGAGGGATTGGGAAAGGTTTTCTTTAGAAGAAGGGATTTTAGCTGGGGCCTAAAGGAAGCCAAAAATCAGGAGGTGGAGAAGAGGAGGAAGAACATTCCAAGCACGAGAAACAGAGAGACAAAGTGCTGAGAAGCCCAGATGGAGTGTTTTGTGGAACAGCCAGGAGGTCAGTGTCACTGGGTTAAGGAATATGTGCGAAGTAGAAAAGGAGTAAGGTATAAGAAGACTGGAAATGTGGGGAGGAACAGGTCAGAAAGAACTTGGAATGCCAGAGGATTTTTCTCTTTGATCCTGCAGGTGAAAAGGAGCCACTACAATTCATTGAGTATTAGGGTGACAGGTCAGAGAGTGATAGAGCTGAAGAGGATAAGAGGATATATGTACAGGTATTTAGAAATATACATAGGGAAAGAAATTCCAGTAATTTCTCAATGCTTAGGAAAAAGTGTCAACCTACCTCATCAGGAGTTTCCTCACTGAGAGTTCTCTATACCAATGAAATTAGAGGTGCACTCCCAATTTTTCTTCCTATCTCTAAGTATGAGTAATCCTATAATTTATCTTCAGAGCTCCTGTTATGCTAAATGCAAGTGGAAGGATACAGAAATTCCTCACATTGTAAGTCATATGGAAGCATAAGTTTGTAGCTGGATGGGACCACTGAAGTCACGTAATGCAAGGCATTCGTTGGTGTTGTGTGGCCTGAGGGCACGTGCAGTGCAAAGTGCGGGTGCCTTGTGTTCAGAACCAAGGCTGCAGTGAAGTTGCCTGATAAAACATGGGTAAGTGCTGCCAGAAGCACCTCAGATTCATTATACTTTTGATTTTGAATTAATTTTTGGTCGTTGTGTGTTCAGAAATCTTTTACTATTGCCAAATATGCAGTCGTGACCCACAGTTTAAGAAGCACTGATCTAATGCAACCCCTTCTGGGAACTAAGACCCATAGAGATTAAGTGACTTGCCCAAGAACACACTAGTGGTAAGTGAGAAAGTCAAGATCTGGGGTCAGTTCTTCCCATTCCAAATTGAGCATTCTTTCCATTGTACCAAATGGAGATACACTACTGCTCCCTGCAAATCTTGCATATCCAGAGCATCCCTTTCATTTTGTAACTTTTGCAATTGCCAAGAACTCTGAATACCTAAAGACATCTGTATCTTTAACATGCCATAAAACTCTGCTGACTTTAGAGGCCTGAGACACTAGGTTCAAAGTCCACCTGAGACACTAGCTATATGACTCAGGGAAGTCATTTAACCTCTCTGTGCCTTAGTTTCCTCCTTTGTAAAATGGGGGTAATTAAACCTGTCATTGTGAAGCTCTAACTTGAAGAGGTTTGGAAGCATTAAATCACCATTTAAGTGTTAGAGATTACCCTGTATTGTATTGTTGACAGAAATATGGAATGCTTCCTACTTTAACATTTTCATTGTGTTTGCATATGTCAGTCATAATTTCCTGCTGCTTTAAGTGACAGATTTCACTTATGTATCTGTGACAGACCATTTATAACATGAAACTCCTGAAATTTATGAGATCACTGACACATTTGAGTTGAGTATTTGAGTGTAGTATTTAATATGTTTTGGAGAAAATTAATATATAAATGCATACAATTACAACTGATTTATTATGTCGCTTATTAATTAAACAAAAGACTGTCTTGTGTGACAAGTCACTAATCTGGGGGCTCTTATTATATCAATATTAGCAAATATGAGGAGATGTGATTAACAGTGATGATTTG